GTCTTGTATTCTCTCCTTGTACTGTGATAGGCAAAGTAAGGGGTAGTGTGGACAATGCCGCTGCTTACTAGGCACTTGTTGTTTTCCTTGAGTAGAACAGACGAACAATCTGACTATAATTTTTTTGTCTTTATATTTTTATTCCCTATGCAGGGATAATACGTGGGTTTTTTTGGATTTTTGCATGCCGATGACATTCACGGCTGTTTATGTACATTTTGGGCGCCAAAGTCCCGCTAAATGGTACAGATAAGCTGCTCGTTTGAAAACGACTTTATAACCGGTACACTTGTATTCCTTCACGTCATACCCTTTTGTGCACTTCGCTTTTGAATACACTGTTAGTCGTGTTTTTTATTCGCTCTCTTCTTCTTGACGCAGTTGAGGGACCTTCAATGGCTATCATTTATTGAGTTTGCAGGGGTATAGATTATTATTTTTCTCGACACGGTTCTTCACACTGGCTTTCATTACTATCCCCTGTCTTTTCCGCTGTTCTGAATGGAGTGTGCGGCCGTGCGCCACTGTAGAAAGTAATGTGATTAGACAGTCTATTGCCCACAAAATCCTTTCGGTTCAATTAAAATTACTAGGCCTAAGAAGCCCAAGTGCACCATTATTCATTGTCATACTCCAAAACTACTATACCCGAACTTATTTTGGATCCAGATCAGGGTGACAGCGTACGACATGGACGGCAACAAGACTTTTAAGTGTAAAGTGCGCAGTTCCTGTCTAAGCCTGGTTGCTACCGAATAAACAACCATGATTCCTTAGTGTGTTTACCAATACTGATATTTAATTTACTTGCGCTTTTGTTACCCGGAGATAGTTGTCTTCACCCTGCTTTTTGTTCAATTTCGAGCCTTGTTAGTGAGTTTTTTTTAAATTTTAGTCGAAAGATAAGGATTCGAGGTTCTTTGGCGGTTCGGTTAGTCGGTCAATCGTAACTCGATCCGGTTCCTTCTCATTCGGTCTGAACAAGATGAACTCCTTGGAGGATATCTCTGGTCCAGAACCTCCCAGTCCAGAGCCCAAGTCCACCCCGGACACTCCTGTGGACGCTCTTGGCGCCTTTGAGCATACCTGTAACGCTATGCGCCACCAAATTCTCACTCGTGTGTTTTACGGATGTAAGTTGAACCCACTCTGTGTGCCCTCGTTTTCATTTCCACCCCTCCCTCCCCACGCACCCAGTCTTCATTCTTATCTTCTGAACTCTTCACCCCACTCTCCCCCCCCCTTCCCGGTTGTTTTTATAGATATTAAACTGCTGATATTTTACGATCTTATGAGAAGACAACGGTCTGATTTTTAACTTATAAATTCCGAGCCAGTACTTTCCGTGAATGTCTTGGTTTACTGCTCGTGGTAGCAGTAATCTTTGTTATGTTCGCACCCGTAAATCTGGCAGCAGTATGTATTTGGCTTAAAAAAGTGCTCTAGATAAAAATGCAGGACGTGTAGTCTGCTATTTTTCTACAAAGGTATGACGCTGACGCAAATCCTGCTCTTCAGTAAAATTTACGACGTTATTCATGTGATTCTGCAAATATTCCCATTTAACGACTGGAAAGTCATCTTGGCAAGCACGTGTTTTCGGCAATTCTTCGTCAGGCCAATACAATTGCAGGGACTCAAGGCGGTCATTTGGTTTATAGATCTGCAGTTAGTCTTCTTATTTTATTCAGAGACTAGTGATAGAGTGCCGGCCACATTTCCATCCGCTTTACGAATCGATTGACGAGTGTTCCAATGCACCAGTCTTATCTGTTATTTTTGTCGTCGGGTTGTAAATGCATTCTGCAGACACCACTGATCCCTGGCAAGTTACACTAAGGCCTGTTCATCGCAGCACTCCGGTCATTCAAAAATCCCGAAAAGACATGGCTCACTAGAGAGCTTTTGCATAGAGTATCTTGATGAAAAGGCAATTTTGTCGAGAAACGACTTTTCAAATTCGATTTACCTGTCTGTCCCTCGTGCAGTCAACAAAGCAAACAGCCAATTAAATTTGGTATCTCAATTCGGGAATCCGAACATTGTTGCACTCGCCGAAGGCATGATACGCCGATATACAGGCTATTAACTGATCTCTTGACAGCTATCACATTGCGCTGCGGACAAAATTGAGCCCCTTGAGCCCGTGAATTGTCTAACGTCTCGGGGTCATTATAGTCTCCCGTCCAGAAATTTGCTTGGTTGAGTATTACCCCCACCCTGGTAACAATAGCTTATAAATAAAACCGCCACCTTATTTATGTTGCATAACTACCTGATTACTTCGTAGTAGTAAGTTTGTTATACTAATTCTTGTAGTTGTCCGTTGTGTCGTCACGACCTTTGGGGATAGTTACCTATTAGCTCTTGTTACCAGGCCTTCTTTCCTAGGCCTGCGTTAAAAATCTTTTAGAACCCTATAGGTTACTCTGTTGGTTCATTGCTATCATTTTGCTAATAAACTTCTTTCTGATTATTTGTCTTCAGGGCTTGCCTATACCCGTTCCATGCTACTGATACGCAAACGTCTCTCGGACATTGTGTACCCGAGGTTCCTCCTGCCTAAAGCACCGCCAGTGCATGCACCGCCGTTGGAGGCGGATTTCTGGCACCAGGTTCGAAGCAACGGAAGCAGAGTAAGTTATCTGGCCGTTTTCACTTATTTGCTATTATAATTAGCAGTACTCTTTGTAGTCATGTCTTTCTTTTCGCATACAATGTATTTCCGAAATTCTGAAAATGTGTTTCGCTTTCGAAAAAATTACTCAAATAGGGTAGTAATCTTACTTAACGTGCAGTATGATCCCACGATATCTCAGTCACGCCTGGATGTCGACTGCCTGCAAAAAACACTCTGTAGAACGACAACAGCTTAGAAGGAGAAGCGGCGTCTACCGGCGAGATTTTTTTTATCTGACGTTTCGGATAGTTATCTCGTCTATCCATCCTCAGGTAGTGAATACTCTGGCTCCTGGCTCTCGCTATATGCCGCTCCTTTCTTCCGCG